GATTTATCAGGTAACTATTCCAGGCCTCACTTTTGTTTACCTCTGTTCTTTGGCCCTGGCCTTTCACAACTTTTCCTCCTCCTCTTCCACATCGTTCCCTCACAAAACAAAACAAACAAGCAAAAGAACCACAAACACAGATTTGCTGAAACATAATTCACACATAATATAACTCATATGCTTAAAGTATATAATTCAGTCGTGAAAGGCAGAGACAGGAGGATCACTGATTAAGTTGATGTCAACTAGAGCAATACAGTGAGAGCTTCTCCCTCAAAGGCAGTTCCAATTGTTTATACTTGTGTTTGTGTAGAGTTGTATTGGTATTGCCAGAGTCAATGCTAAAACTTTTTCCACTATCCCACAGTTAAATTCCTAGGCAGTAGCCCTAGTTCCCATTCCTTCCCCCTGGACATTTGCCTATTTCTCTCTTTGGCTCTAGGAAATCACTTGCCTACTTTCTGTCTCTATGCATTTATCTATTCTGGACATTTAAAATCATAATCCCATGGCTATGTGTCTGTGACTGGCAATTTCCCATCACTTTCCCTGCCATACAAGCCTCTGGTAAGCACTGTTCTATTCTCAGCTCTATTAGACCAACTTTGTATTCTAGGTGTGAGTGACGTGATGTATTATGTTGTCTGCCTTATTCTGTTCCTTTGCTGGTCCTTAGTTTCACTCCCATTGTGATTCAGTGATAAGATTTTGGTAAATGAAGGTGAATAACATTCTGTTATATATATATGACATCCTTTTCATCCATTCACTTCCTAATGGGTCTCTAGATTGATTTCATATTTTGATTCATATTTGGATGTTTGCTGAACATGGAAGTACAAATCTCTTTTTCAACATTCCACTTCCATTGGACATTGATTCAGTAATGAGTTTACTGAATCATATGGTAGTGATAATTTTAGGTTTTAGGGTTGCTGGGTGTTGGTGATGCATTTCTTTAATCCCAGCACTTGAGGGATAGAGGCAGGTGGATCTGTGAGTTCAAGGCCAGCCTGTTGCACAGAGTTAATTCCAGTACAGCTATGACTGTTACACAGAGAAACCCTGTCTCAAAAAAGCAAAAGAAAAGAAAAAAATTTTAGGGTTTGTTTTGTTTTGTTTTTTGTTGTTGTTTTGTGAAAGTATCTTACTATATATGCCTGACTTGTCTAGAATATAATATATAATAGAATATATATATTATAATGACCAGGGCGGGCTCAAGTCACCACATCTTCACATCTTGATCCTACATTTAGGTTTTATATTTTGGTACTTCTATACTGTTTTCCACAAGGGCTATACTAATGTATTCTCACAAATAGTTTGTAAGTGTTCCCTTTTTTCCACACTCTTGATAGCAATCTTAGCTTCTGTCCTTTTGATAACCGTTCTTATCAGGCAAGATAACTTCCCCTGTGGTTCCTGTTGAATTATTGTTCTCCTGATAGCTGATGTTGAGACCCTTTTCACCCCTCTCCTGGGCAGGTTAATGTGTCCTCTGGGGACATGTCAAAGCTTACCCAATGCTGTAGGTGGGTGTTTTCAGTCTAATGCCTCATCTAGCTGTTGGAGTGTAATTGACTCCAAATATGCCTCTTCCATTTCCACAGACCTCGTCCTCCAACTGTTCTCTGCACAACACCTAAGGCTGAAGTTACCTGGTGCAAGTGAAAAGGAAACATGGAACTTGCAACAAACCCGCTTAGGAGTTTATTGGGGGTAGCGTGTGTACAGGCCTGGTGAAGGTTAATATGCAGAGAGAGCTGAAGATGGCGCCTCCAGCTTTTAAGGGCTGCCTAGCACATGCGCACAGGGGAGAGTGTGGTTACGTCATAGGCAGATGACGAAGCTCATGTGTACACAGTAGCGTCATACGTAGATGATGCAACCATGCTGCATGTGGGTCACGTGGGGTTCTTTAAGATTTCCAGGGCTATTAGTCACTTCTGCCTGAGGGCTTGTCCACACAAGCGTGGCCCTGGAACCCGAAAGTGTCAGTCATGTTGTGTGACTGAATCATTACAGAAGCTATTCTTTGAACGATTTTTTCTGTTTTTAGTTTCTTTGCTATTATGTTAACTTTTCGTGGGAAGATGTGATAAATATCTACTTACCCCAGATCAGAGACAGATAAAAGCACAATTCCATCAAAGTCCAACTTGCAAACCAGTGAGTTTAGTGGGTTTATTCACCAAGGGCTAGCAACGTGTCTCATTAAAACCATTGCTCTCAATGGCACGCATTTATCAAAGCCGAGGCATCAAATATTAGGTTTTGAGGAGGGACAGGGGAAGATAGGCTTCAGAAAAAGGTGCTGAGGTATATTGTCTTTCAGGCAAGGTTTGTTAATGTTTTACAACAAAACCCTTCAGAAAAAGTGAGTTCTCTGAGGGAAGGGAAATCCTGAAACATGAGGACTTGGCAGCATAGAATGTGAGTGGGTATGGATGGACTGTTTGGGCTACTTATGAGAGATCTGGGGGAAAGGCTACAGGCTCTGTGTGTGACCTGTCAGTTCTTCACAGTAGCTTGAATGGGTAGGACTCTAACAGGCATCCATCACTTGCACGTGGCTACCCTAATTGTGTAGCACACGGGTTTTCCTTTTCTTCTTAGCCCTTCTTACTGCATCATGGAAACACATGTCTGATCATCCTCTTTCTTCAAATCCCTTTCCTACATATCCAAACCTGAGATAACATCAAGACTGACTTCTGTGGGTCCCTGAGAGATTATGTATGCCTCCTTTATGTTTTAGGGGTTGTACTAAAATAGAAGTATACAGTGTTCATCTTTGTATTCTCCTGAATATTCAATTCATAGCGTTGTTTTATGACTCTTCATGTGGAGCTGTAAACAAGCATCTGTTGATAGGGCACAAATAACTGACTGCTGGAGACCTGCGTCAGTGAGGAGTTCAGGTCCCAAAGAAAAGAGGATGTGTGGAGTTGTGGATGGGGGCAGGGATAAGGAGACGGACAAGCACGATCTGAGCGTGAATCAGGATGGCTGCCAGACCTTAGGATGTAGGGCTATAACTTGATGGAAAAGGTCTGCCTTGATAAAGTCATGGTGTCGCTCCCTTCCACCATACTAACAACACATAGCAACAGCAACAATAGTAAATAAAATAAGTAAATGAAAGAAAAAATGTAAAAGTCTGTCTTTACATCCATGGATTCTGTATTGCATTTGTAGAATTTAGCCCAGCTGTCAGATGTCTCATTGACCTAGCACATAATTGCCCTTATGACCAGATTTACTGACGAGCAGATAATTGACATTGGAGAAACTTACTAAGTGTGCTTTATTTTATGCTAATGCAAAATGTGTTTATTCATTTACAAAGAGGTTGCATAACTAAAAGTTATTCAGACAAAAGATGAAATTAACAGTGCTATACTTTTTGAGAATTTAATGATGGAAGAGAAAAATATGCAAGGCTGATAATGGACATGAAATCACATGGTCAGACATTATGGGCAGCATTATGCAGATCGCGATGGGATGGGAAAGGTGAAGAAGTCTCTTGTAATCACTGACTGGCAGCTGTCAGATTATTGATTTAGGCTAGTCTTGAATCTGTAACAAGAATTTTATTTATTTCTCCTGTCTATTGCAAGAATAAGTTTTGCCTTTTTGCATATCATTTCAATCTAAATTTGAAGTATAAAAAATGACCAGAGCAAGCTCTATTGTTCTGTCTGGCCAAGGAAAAGAAATGCAAATTTTGTGTGCACTTTCTCTTCTTTTTTTGTAAAACTAGGTATGTGAGAAAGAGAACAGTCCAAAATTGGTGGAATTGTTGCTTAATGGTGGGTGCCGTGAACAGGATGTACGAAAAGCACTGACAATAAGCATCCAAAAGGGTGACAGCCAGGTCATCAGCTTGCTCCTAAGGAGGCTTGCCCTGGACCTGGCCAACAACAGTATTTGCCTTGGAGGATTTTGCATAAGGAAAATTGATCCTTCTTGGCTTGGTCCTTTATTTCCAGATAAGTCGTCTAATTTAAGGAAACAAACAAGTAAGTATCAGTAGAATGCTTTATGTAACTTTCATGTTATAATTAGTAGTTTTGCTTTGAATGTGGGACTTAATTTATAGTGGGAAAACACTCTCCCATTGATCTACAGTACATGTATTCGCTCATCATGGTAGATAATTGTATGTGTTCTATTTACAACCTTTTATTTTTAGTAGATTGTAGGCATGGTGAAATCAAAGTTAGTTTTGTGCACTAATGGAATCTTATTATCTATGCCACTGCTCCACATATGATTACTGGATATTTATAAATTTGCGATGATCAGTTAGGAGTAAATGATATCAAAAGCACATGTTACAGCAAGTACTTCACCTGTCAACAGTAGTTAAAATTGTTCTTTCTGAGGATATTCTGTATTATCTATTGATGTTTTCAATTCATATATAAATATATACTTTTAAATTTTTAAATCTAATACACACACACATATATATAAATTTTACTTGCATAGGGAAACATACTTTTTTATTTGCAATATGTTATCAGAGATCCAGAATATAGATTCTTTATGCATAAGGATGTGGATTTAAAACTTTTAACATTACCAAAAGGTTGGAGGTAAATAGAAACACTCAGAAAAATCATGGGAAAATCATCCAGTGGAATCATTTGCAACAAGCATAAATGTTGGTGAAAATGTACTGGAGATGCTCAGACAAGGGGATTGTGAGGGCAACCTGGGCAGTATAGCATGACCTGGTCAAGAATGGACTAAAAACTGTGGTATAACAGTGTTTTGATTGCTGAAAATTCTATTGAGCTGTGTTAATTGTACATATGTATTAGCTGAGATTTCTATCCTGCCTGACCCTGTAGCCATTCAGCCCCAAAGAAAAACACAGAAGTCTACATTAATCATAAACTGGTTGACTGTTAGCTCAGGCTTCTTATTAACTCTTATAACTTATATTAACCCATTATTCTTGTCTATGTTAGCCACAGGCTTGGTACCTTTTTCAGCGAGGCATTTTCATCTTGCTTCCTCTGTGTCTGGGTGACAGTTACAGACTGCGTCTTGTCTCTTCCCAGCATTCTCCTGGTCTTGTCACCCTGCCTTTACTTCCTGCCTGGTTGCCATGCCTATACTTCCTGCCTGGCTACTGGCCAATCAGTGTTTTATTCAGATACAAGTACAGGGTACAGGCCATTGTCCCACAGCATATATGTGAAAATAAAACACTGTATCAGAAAATAGTTGTACAAATGATACCTCTCCTCTCCTCTCTCCCACTTTTTTCTTCCCCTCTCCTCCCTCCCCACTCTCTTATCCCCTGCCTTCCATTCTTTTTTTTGTTTCTCTTCTCCAGCCTTCTCTTTTCTTCCCCACCCCATCTCTACATCCTTCTCTGTAGGATCTCTCTATGTAGGCCTGGGAGCTCTCTAAGTAGAGCAGGTTGGACTTGAACTTGTGGCAAATCTGCTTTTGCCTCCTTAGTTCTGGGATTGTAGATGTGAACCACCTTGCCTATCTATTTTCTGATTTCTGATAGAGTGGAATGGAGATTTAGTATTTCTTTCGTTCTGTGTGAACATCTTACATTGGCAAGTTTTGTTATAAGTTTTTAAAATGTTAATGTCATTTGACTAGAAGATAAAATCATGATTTCATTGGTAGTTTATCTAAAGGAAAACTTTGGATTCATAACTTTACAATATTTCTCAAGTTCCAATTGGCAAAATTATGTATTTATTATGTGAGCCATGAAAATAATATTTGAAGAAATCTAGAGTTTCTGAAAATTAATGGTGACAGCGAGTACATTTCTTCTTAGTATAAGATAAATATAAAGTATAAGGAAAAATTGAGGAGAATATTGTCTAAGGGTCAATATTGCTATGATGAAATTCATCAAAAGCAACTTGGGAAGAAAGGGGTTTGTTTCCACTGAAGCTTGTCAGGGTAGGAACCCGGAGGCAAGAGTTGATGCAGAGACCATGGAGGGATGATGCTTACTGGCTTGCTCTCTATGGCTTGCTCAGCCCGCTTTCTTATAGAACCCAGACCTCCATCCCAGGAATGGCACCACCCACTAGAGCTAGGCCCCTCTCATATGAATCATTAAGAAAATGCTCTACAGGCTTACCTACAGCCCAATCTTACTGAGGCGTTTTTTGTCAATCGAGATTCCCTCCTCTCAGATGATTCTAACTCATGTCAAGTTGACATGAAATTAGCGAGCACAAGTGTTAAGTTTAAAATTCCACCATGTGAAACACTGAGCAAATTTTATTCATTTGTTAAGCATCATGTTATTTATTTTTTCCTATAACCCTGTGTTGAAGCTGCCATCTGCATCTTCCAGATGAATTGTTTGGTCCTTAGAAAGTTTAACCAGCTTGCAAGTGGCATTGCGTAGGTTTGTCTCTGGCTCCACAGTCCTGTTCCTTCCCTGAACAAAGACAGATTCATAATGACTGAAAGTGGCCATTTATACCCAAATTCCATTGAGCAGCAGCACTTATGCTAAAACTGGAATGATACAGAGAGGAGCGCCATGGCCCCTGCACAGTGTGCACTGTTACTGCAGCAGCAAAGTGGTTCTAGAGAGAGAGAAAAAAAACCTTAAAAGTTCAAGATGTGTATAAGGAGCTTGCATAATGTATGATTATGTTTTATAATTACTGATTTCTAAGTTACCAGTTGGTTATTTTTTAGACACAGGATCTGTCCTAGCAAGAAAAGTGCTCCGATATCAGATGAAAAACACTCTGCAAGAAGGAGCAACTTCAGGCAGTGATGGCAACTTTTCTGAAGATGCCCTGGCGAAGTTTGGCGAATGGACCTTCATTCCTGACTCTTCCATGGACAGCGTGTTTGGCCACAGTGATGATTTGGATAGCGAAGGTATCTGTTTTAATTGAAGGTTCACTGCAGCCCACGTCTACACATTGACATTGAACACTGAAGACTCACTCACATGAAAAGCTGCTTTAACTCATTTGGGAAAGGGGACAAAATGGGCTGCAGTTAAAGCTGTGGCTGGAGAAACCACATCTTGTGCTTTCCTGTGTAACCCAGAGGACTTGGCCACATGCACTCTTAGAGCGAGATAACTGCTACACTGGAGTGATCATACCTGACAGCTACTAGGTTTTGGTGGCTGTGTCGTTTTTCTGACCTTTTTAAAGTTATTGGTGCCAGCCCTTCAGGAGTACAGGTAGGAAATCAAGAAAATCTAGGTAAAGGATTTGGATGACAATTGGCAAGTAGTTCTTAATTCTATAATGGCTCTAAAACATTACTATTTTAATAATTCACCTGACATAATTTTTAAAATCGATAAAACAATATGTGTGATGATAGCAGTTATGGATAACATTTAATACAATTCAATTTGGTAAAAGAAATGAGCTAAACGACTTGTTAATTTTTTTACACATTTTTTTTCATTTTTTTAGTATATAAAGTGACAGGCTTCATCATAACATTTTAGTACAGCTGTAAATTTTTACATTGCTCATATTTAACCCCTATTACCCTTCAGCATCTACATCCCCTCTGGCTGCTCCACTTACTCCTACAGATTGCCCCTCTCTTATGAGCCTCACTTATATTAATGCATGCGGCATAATTTCATTCTTCTTCATGATTAAATGAAATTCTACTGTGAGCTTTCCAGAATGAGTTTTCTTTATTCATTTGTAGGTGTTTTCTGCCATATTTCTGTTTGGCTAATATCCGTGGGCACAGGAGGTCTTTCCATCTTCTAGTATTATCTTGCAATCTCTTTTCCCAGCATTTTTAAAATCTTCCTTGTAAAAGTCGTTCGGTCTTCTCAGTGGAGTTTGTTCTTATGTATTTTGTTTTCTTAAAACTACTCTGACTCTTTTGTTTATTTCTTTTCTATCAAGTCTGTCGATCTCTGACAGCTGCTGATTTTGTGTTGTGATGTTACAGAGAAAGGTGTTTACAGGCTGTAAGAGTTTTCCGATAGAGTCCTCGGGGGTCCTTTAAGTTCAGCGTTTTGTCATCTACAACTAATAATTTGCCTTTTTTTCTTTCCTGTGCAACTGAGGGGCTTTTAAATTAGTATAATCTGCCGAAAGCTTTGAGTGAGAAGGATCAAAGTATCATTCATTTCAATCATTTCTTTTTGTGGCTGAGATTTGAACCAAAAGACCTCACACTTACTGAGCATGCTCATTCCATGAAGTCACTTCTCCCACCCACTAGGTATCTTTAAAAAAAGAAAAATGCTAGAGAGGAAACATAAATATCAATATCAAGGCACTATGTTTCTTATGTAAAGAGTATTTTGCTAGACCCTTTCCAAACATGTAACATAAGGCAATGATGGCATGGAATAGCTATTATATTGTATGTGGATAGTTAAAATATACAGTCACCTTTCTTAATATATTTTAATATAATATTTCATCACTTCTTTGATATTCTCACCCATTGATCATATTTTAATCACTCACCCGTTTTGATTATATTCTAATGAGTTCCTTTGGAGTGTAGTCCCAAGTCTCTGCAGGGTTCAGAAAGGAAGCCATAGCAAGTGAAAAGAATTTTTTCTGAGGGCAACCAAACTCTGTCACACGTGCTTTTTTGAGTCAGTCTTTTTATTGTTCTGTCTCAGTTCTAGCTCTCCTGTTCTACTTCTAATGCCTACTAGCTTCTTCTAGCGTCATATTCTCTCTTCTAGCCTAAAAACTTCTTACAAGAGCTTTGAAGAGATTAAAAGAAAACCCATAGGAGTTGCCTCTCATTATTCAAAAACACATTCCTAGAGTAAGTGATTAGGAGCTGAGCTATTGCCATGAAAACACAAGAGTCCAAGGTTACATGAGTAAAGCTGTAACCAGATGGGGGTGGGGCTCAGTGCCCAGTGACAAACTTTGAGACGTAGGTCTGTTATTAACAGACTGGCAAGCAAAGAACTGGCATGCTTTTCTTAGGGTGCTTTGTGTAGTAACCTTGGTTGGACATCTGCAACTCTGACCTTGAGCATAACTGTAAGGTTTTCAACTCATGATCCATTTACAAAATGCCTTTAGCCCAGTTTGAACTTGCTTTGAGGCGAAAGTGAGATTATTGTGTGCAGTTAGCTGAGTAAGAGGAAGAAGCAGGCTTTTAAGTATCTACAGTCCTCTTGGGACAAGTAGATCTAGTGATGAATCAAGTCCTAATATATAGTCTATATATCAAAATCATATAACCAAATAAGAAGTCATCTTCCTGAATGTCCACAGATATATGTGCCCATAAGATTGAGATGCAATCATGAAATTACATGTACACATCACATGAAAATGCATGGTAGTGGAGAGGTATCATAGCTATTATTACACAAGTGGAATCATAGATGAAAGCACCAGTTTTCAGAGTCAGTGGTCAGTAAGCCTTGCTGACAGGGTACCCCATCAGGGAATACTTCCTCTGGTGGGTTGACATCTGAATTACTGATGACTATAAGCTATAATTATATCATCATGGCTTACAATAGCCTGGGACAACCACTCCTGACAATATATAGCCCATTCCTCCCCTAAAACCTTCCATATCGAAATCCATCTGCCTACCTCCTCAACTTTGTGTCCAATTTAGTTGACATATTTAATTAATTTAAAGAGCGAGCATGGCATCATGCATGAACAGAGGTCCGAGGACCACTTGCATGAGTCAGTTCTCTCTCTTCACCTTCTCTCTTCTGGGTATTGAACTCGGGTCATCAGGCTTGGTAGTAGACATCTTTACTAGGCCATTTTTGAGTCTTTTATTAAAATAATTAATAAAAAATTTATATGATAAAATGAGTTAGACTTACATATTCAACCAGAGAGTTAGTGTTTATATCAAGATTTAAATTGCACAATATGAAATTGATTTTTTGATGTCTTGAATTTATAATTTACTTTTAGCACTTAAAGTTCATGTTTTTCTTTCCAAGATAAAAATAGTAGAATTGAAAATCTTACCTTTTTTTCCCAAAGATATTTCCTCAATGTTTATCCTTGCAAGTATGACTTCTTGCTTCACTTTATTTCT